AAAGGTAGAGGAAAAGGGGACCGAGTTTCACTGCTTATATTATCAGAATTATGAATACAAAGTGTTTCAAAGTTCCCTTGAGTCCAGCGCTCATCAGCGCAACACCAGTCTCTTATCAACTCGTCAATATGACTTTCCGTGAATCAGCGCTACTCCTGCAGATAACCTCCAGGTCATCAATGTGGTCACCACTCATCAGCACCACCTTTGCAGCCCACATTYAACTCAGGTAAGTATCTTCCATAGCCGAATCTTGAATGAACACTCTCAACCTCAATCCCTTCCTCCTACGATGCATACACACCCTTCATTCATGAGGATCTACTCTGAATACTACTCATAGCTACATATTARCCCACTACTACTAATGCAAACTTGCTGGGCAGCTATGGCTGCATCACTTCCAACATGCAATCCTCTTCCCTCACTCAGCGCATCTGCTTCCTCCAGCGCTGCTCCTACTGACTTTAACGCACAAGTGCTCCAGCACTTCCACGCTGATACAGCCAGTGGAGATCTGGCGAGGAATGAGGCTGGCTGCCTCCTTTATACTCCTCGCTGGGTCTGCATTGGCTCAATTCAGCCTCTTTCCTTGTCCCAGACCCTGCATTGCATGTGTCCCAGTAGAGTCCCAATGAAATTCAACTGCTGCTGAGGCCTCCCGGCCTGAATTTGGAGTTGAAAGTCTGGATCTGGACTGACCCCTGGACTTAGACCAGAACTGGGACTGTGCCTATTGACTTTACTTTCGGACAGGCACAACTCTCAWCGAACAGACATTTACTGCTTGAACAGACACTTTACTTTGCACCAACAGGTACACTGCCTRYACRWACAGACACACCCTTACCCGAACAGACATGACATACACATCTCCTGGTGAACAGGTAAGTCTTTTGACAATGCCCTTTGCCTTAGCTTTAGATATGCCTGTTGATAGAGAGCTTGACCTTTGACCTGCTTTCACGTTTTCACAATGCTTTACTTTTTCCAGGCCCGTGCTGCTTTATTTTACAAGGCCTGAGGCCTATATCGGGTAAAGGCCCTTTTAATTTGCACATTGGTGTCGTTTGTCTGCAAGTGATCCTCATCACATAGGAGTAGTTTCGAGAAATACTGGTCGTAAAAGTGCCTTAGCGTAACTCTGCATTTCTGGGAATTGTGAATGAAATGGTCTTTGAATGCAAGAGTTAGGGTGTCCACAAAGGGAGGACCCTGTATGTTTCCGCTGAATAGTCCTCCATTCTTTTTCTTTATTGGTTGTTTTCCCAGTAGTAGTTCGTGCATGTGTTTGCCTTACAGACCTTTATGTCAGAGAGAAATATTCATGAATGCCTTACCAGTTGCCTCGTGGTCTCTGCTGGTACAAAATGTCTATGATATGGTATGTGGATGACAGGCAGATGCACTCGTTAATGACCTCGATGACCCCTGAGCAGGTGGCAGCCATGAGCGGAGGGGGAATAGACCCCACCATGGCGAAATTTGCTGTCGATGTAGCCAAAGGCATGACACCAGAGGATATGGAACGAGTTGTTAGCATGGCAGGGAACTTGCCCAGATCGACTGACCCGGGCCAGGAAAGAAGGGAGAAAGACAGCGGTGCCACAAGTGGTGCGAACACTTCGTCTGCTGTTCTGCCCAAGTATGGAATGCCCTCTGGAGTATCAATTGGAGAGGACATGGGGAGAACACAGTCTGGTAAGGCCTCATTCATGCATATGGACTAGTGGTGCTCTCTCACTGTTTCACATGCCGGGGGCAGTCTGATGCCCGAACAACAGTAGCCTTCCTATAGTCTACAGTATCACAGATCCTGGCTTCAGATTATCCCAGTTTTTTTCGAACGGCTGGACCATGGAACAAGGAAGTCCCTCCGCATGCCCACTCGCCTATAGCCGTAGTGGGCCCTGCGGTATGGCAAGCTCACCTATCTGGGGCGTCTCCAGCTGTGGAAAACTGGCCTGGCACCTGTGCAAGTTGCCCGGCCAGCTGCCTGCATTGGGTTGTTATGTGCCTGATTGAAAACGAATCCAGCATAGCATACACATGTTCCCATACACATGCGAAAATGCAAGTAGACTTGGAGAGAGAAAATCCACACCAAACCGGATGATGAAATTGCACAGCAGAAGCACACAAATACCAAGATTAGAATTGAAACGAAATCAATTCTAATTTACCGTCTCTCCCAGTTCAATCAACAGCACAACTCCAAGAATCCCAACCACGTTAACAACATCTATGAACAAATTATTTACAGAGTTTCATCGAGGGAGACTTCTTCTTCCTCCCACACCTTGAGCTCACAGCTATGGCGCAGGCCTGCGCCCAACCTATCAAGCCCACTAATCGCCACCAACCCTTGTATCCCCAAACAGTCACTCAGCAGTTCAACTGCGATGCCCACTGCAGATGACGTGTCCGATCAGCAAAGGAGGGAAGCTCCCTAGATGAAGAAGAAGCACAACAGCTCGATGAAGATGGTGACCCGCCACTTCGAAGCAGGCATGGAAAAGCTGCTTCGATGGCAGCTGTCAAAACCCCAACAGAACAGCGGTGGAGGAAGCATCTCACAAAGCAGGGCCTGATGCCCCGGGGCCAATTCCACACAAGCCAGGTAAGCCCAGCTATGGCTGTCAGCTTCCCTTCCACGAGGAAGGAGGAGCAGCACTTGGAATTAACGCAGCTTCAGCAGCGACCTCCAGCAGCACTTCGTGGAGAAAATAAAAAAAATGACGAACAGAACCCCTAAAACTTTGCCCTCGGTACTTTTGTTCCTCTCCAGCCTCCCAGGACAGCCTACAGCTTAGTTTTGCATCTACAGCCTACGACTGTATCTCGACAGAAAACAGCACCAGAGGGGAGAGGCCTACGTTCCTCCTACTGAAACAACCCAAAACAGCCCGAAGGGTCTATGACCAGCCAACAGAGATTGTTGCTGACAGGTCTAGGGATCGAGTCCAACAAGGCTCAAAATAAACAGGCAAACACAGCCAACAAGCAAACAAGCAAACAAACAGGTTGCGGGATCAAATCCCGAAGGACTCAAAACCAGGCAACATCAAACAAGGTTAGTGTACAGCTCGCATGCCACTGCAATTCATTGCATTGCTACCCTCCTTAGGCAAAAAATCTGGTGTTTTTTTTTTTTTTTTTTTTTTTTTTTTTTTTTTTTTGGGGGGGGGGGGGGGTGATCACAACTGTCTATATTCTTCTATCAACTTCTGTTTTTGTTTACCTTCCACTACCTACTCCTAAGACTATCTAGAGGGGACCCCTGCAAGCATAGTTTTCCTCTCTTTGTGAAGGGGGGATTTCATGTTGCCCCTTGCCTCTAATGGTTAGGGTATAGGGTTGGGGCCGCCAGTGGGGGTCTGGCTAACACAAGGACCGGGACCTGCCAGTAGCTGTGCCTCCCTTTCTCATCGTCCCCCACCCTTCATCGAGTAGCAGCAGAGGCTATGGTCAACACTCTCCCACACACCACACACAACCCACTTGCGCTCACACTCACACCCGTGTTGGTCATAGACCGCGCTAATACCGATCAGGGGTATCGAGAGGACTATCACAGTCCGTTGGCACTTTTTTTGTGCCTGCCAAATATCTTTGGGTTTAACATTGGGTACCTTAGTAAGGCTTAGTTTCCTCCCTTTTCTTTTCTTTGTGATATTCGATTCTCTGAGGATTTTTTAAATGATCCTCAAAGGGCCTCAACCAAAATTTGTTTGCACATTGGAATCCTACACAATGTAGCTCTTTTCTTTTCTTCTTCTTTTTTTTTTTTTTTTTTTTTTTTTTTTTTTTTTTTTTTTTTAACTGGGGCCGCTCATGCTCCCTCGAGCAAAATAGAGAGAAAATTTGCTGCAGAATCCTGCTAGTTGAGGTATTCCTGCCAATGAAAACATAGTAATAGACATTGTAATAGCTAAAATAGGAGTCGTCAACGCTAACACGGCAAAATGCGCTATATATTTTAAACGGTTTTGGCGTAAAGCTAAAAATATTCCAAATACACTGATGGTCATTATTATTAGCTAAATGAAAACACGTATTAGTAAAGACTGTATACCTTGGATAGTTCCGCATGAAACCAATTAAAAAAGGTGTCGGGCGGCCAGGCGTATGTATGGGTACAAAATTTGTGCCCTGGTGCATTAAGAACTAATGCTCAAGGCAACATGTCATCTCACATCTGCTGTAAGAAGAATGCAATTCAATGATAGAAAGATGCCCAAGAGAATGCTCAAGAGAAGCAACATGTCATCTCACATCTGCTGTAAGAAGAATGCAATTCAATGATAGAAAGATGCCCAAGAGAATGCTCAAGAGAATGCCTAACAAAATGCCCAAGAAAATGTTCATATGGGTCATTCAACCAGAGGCTTTGTCGTGGTGATGTCAGGTTTTCAGCAACGGCACCAGTGAAACATCAGCCATCAGAGTATTCTGTCGGCATGTCAGCAATGCAGCAGCCATGTCAACAATGCAAATAGAGATATCGAATTTATCAGTCGATATCACCTAGGCATGTCTGCAATGCAAATACTATACTGTAATCTTAAGAATAAGTGTGGCATGTAAATGTCAGTAATTGGGGTGAAGGTCCTCTGCCTTCTTCGGAATCTGATTGTTGATTCTGAATCCTGCCTTGGATCCCAATGCTCAGGTTCAGGCTATCGCTTCCTTCTTTCTCGTGTCAAGGCTCTGCCTGTAGGGTGTCTTCACGCCTATAGTATGAAGGACCCTCTGGGGGCTGCAGGAGAGTCAGCCCTCTATTACAGAAACATCCTTCATGCCATTTCGCTCTCTCAGCAGAGTTTTGAGGTTTGGCGATATTTTCTGGAAATTTGGTTGTCCTTCAGTTCATTGCTGGGTCGGTTTGCCTCCCCTCTCCCACAGTGACCCTGTCGACCTTCTCAGACATGGGTAGGATGTAGATGGCTGCTGTCCTCCCCGAACACAAGGCACCGTCATAGTAACTCCGTTGCGATACGGTCATATGGGTGTGTTGTATGTCGGGGACGACAGTAGCTGGTGATCTGGTTGCAGTGAATGTTGCATGGCCCTGGCAAATGGCCTCCTGTTTTCCGCATCTAAGTTGCTGACTCATCTCTATTGTGTCCTATTCCGGTTTGACCCTTTTTTTTTTCCTTTCTTTTTCTTTTTGTCTTTTCTTGAATGTGCGAATCCCAGTCCTCACTGCCTCCTCAGTCCTCAAAGACATTATTGGATTGTGGGATTGGAGATCTCCAGAAGTGTTGGATCCGACCACGTTTTTAAATGTCTTCTTGCGATGCTGATGGGTATATATATTGTGGTTCAAATGGATGGGTACTCTACTACTCACTGTATAAATCACCTGTGCAGCAATTTTTTGGTAACTCCTAATTAATGTCATCAATTTTGATCATTCCACACTGATAACCACAGTGATAGGTCAGGAGCTGATTAAGTATCGCTGCTGCAATGGGTGTACGTGATTAACTTGGTTACTGACATGGCGTGCAAGTGAGTACCTTGATTGGCCCTAAGTCAATGTGATTATTACAAGCTGAATCAGCTGATGAATTATAGTAAGCCTGTGCGGCTGAGTGTTACACCCACCAACTGTTGATAAATATACCAGAGTTCGAATCCTGGCGACTTGAATCAGATACCTGGGGACGCTCAGTTCGGCGATGAAACCTCAGTCGGAATTGGCGGGTACCACCAGTCTGCCTGATGACGGTAGCTCAAGGATGTCCCTTTTGTTTATTTTTAAAAGAACGAGTATGAATGCTGTTGTTGTTTCTGTGTGTGACTGTCTTGTTGACTGGGACGGCTGTTCTGTAAATTCCATGTGATGCCGGGTTGTGCAGAAGGAACAGCAAGCGTAAGTGGACTGTCAGACGGCGGCTCGGGATCGTCAGCTGATTATGATAGCAGCTCACGTACAGGTCTGAGGCATAGGCGGACAGGTAGTGGAGGTGGTGCACCTGCTGCGAGCATGGGGATGGGGGACATGACGCCTGAGATGAGGGAACAAATGCGAGAGCAACTTAAAAACCCGGCTGCTGCAAAGGTAAGAATCAATTGCTAGCAACAGTTGTGACCACTTAATGTCTGCCTCCCACTTAAAATGAATCTATCTGTCAGCAGGATGGAGTGTGTACTTGGTCTGAAGTTGGTGCATGCGGTGCGGTGCCCTGGTGGGTGATGCGTGGCTGCGTAAAACGTGTGCAGTGAATTGGGGGGGGTGAGGGGGGAGAGGTTGCGCAGCTCTGCATGCAGCATGGTAGCACACACATGTAGGTCATACTTCGCAACTCTGATTATGATGGGCCGTATGGAAGTTTACCATCCGAGCTGAAGTCCTGTCCGGCTTGTGTGCATCAATCTCTTCTGGTGTATCTTCTCAGCGATATCAGGAGTGCAGTGCAAGTATATGTTGTCTGGCGAACATCTCTGTTTTTTTTCTCTTCTCTTTTTGTCTTGTTACAAGTGAGCAGTTCTGGAGCAGTGAGTGTGAGAGTCTCCTTCCACCACCCACCGAATGTGTAAAAATGGCAAATGCATATTGCCTCGTTCTACTGTGATCTACGTTTAACATTTTTGCATTGGACGAGCAGTGGAACACTCGAGGCCCATCCTTGCATAGCGACCATGCTAATGTTCTCTGTATGCTTCCAGGTTTTAGCGGAGATGGCCAGTGTGGACCACTTTTCTTTTCCCCGTCCCCCTTCTGTTGTCGGGAGGGTCAATCTGGTTTCTTCCCCACGGGCAAGTCAATGTGTTGTATTAATGAACGGTCTCCTCCGAACGGCTGTGGTTGCTCCTTCTGTGGAGGATTAACTACGGGCCTATCCTTGCTGACTCTACATTTATTCCTCTCTATCTGTGTGTGCACGGTGTCAGGTCTGCATGCAGCCCATGAATTCCGCAAGTCATCACGCCATTAACAGTTGTTCGATTCTGGTTTGCGCTGGGGGTTCGCTCTGTGTCTCGTCTCGTCTGGCTCCCTTCCGCCGGCGATGTGCGAATGGGGTTTTGCCCTTCTAGAGGCAGTCAACTATAAAACATTCGCACATCCGCCCGACTATAAAACAGTATGTTGCAACAGTATGAAACAGTTCAGGCCCTTCAGGTATGTTGCAGCAATGAATTAAGTTCAATTAACTAAGAAGCTGTACGACCAACTGGCCTAGATCAGTTGGGACATCCCCGAAGGGCCTGAACTGTTGAAATACAGACCTGAGTTGAAAGTGGGGCGGATGGAGACGAAGTAAATTATAAAATACTATCGAATTGGAAAAAGAAAAACAAAAAAGAATTGACGAAGAGACTGACTTTCGTGGCATGGTTTGTGCTTTTAAAGTTTAAACCACCATTACCTCCGAGCCTGTTTTTGCCGACCCTGATTTTCACTGCGCACTGATCGAGTTTTGCCGAGCCTGAGGTCCTTTGTGTTTCTTTTCTGGTACTCTTCCGGAAAAGAGAAGAAGAAAAGCATGGCCAGACTTTCAAAAAATGGCGTACTCGCAACCACAAAAAAAGAAAAAGAAAAAAAAAAATGAACACCCCTCTGGACGTGATACAAGGTACTAGATACCTGTCCCAAAGTTGTTGTGTGAGTATGCCCTAAGTGAGGGCGTTACGGCAGGGGTGTCAGGTCCACGGAAAAAGAGGAGAGAAAAAAAATATTGCATCTGAGCTTAGGGCGGGAAAGCGGGCTCATACATTCTGCGAAGTTGTAGTGTGGGGATGCCCTCCTTCGCAAAGTGTCAGCAGGCCGTGGACTGCGCCGTGCCTCCCTGGCAGGGCACAAAGACAAAAAAAAAAAAAAAAAAGCAACGAAAACCTGAAACTGGTCACAATCGTAGTTAGATACTTTCTTTTGAGTATTGGTGTCAGCACAACTTCGTGCACGGCCTTCCCGGACTTGGTCTTTTGTTTTTCTTTTTGCTTTTCGATTGGGCAGCCTTCCCGGACTTGGTCTTTTGTTTTTCTTTTTGCTTTTCGAACGCCCCCACGAGGCCCAACTGCCGAGCCTCCGCAGACCCCCCAAAAGTACGGAAAAATAGGGAACCATTTTTCTCAAGAGTGATAGAGGTAGTGGTGGTTCAAGGGATCATATATGAATGGAAATTTGGAAAACCACCGGTTAGGGTTGTTGATTTAGTCAGAGGTTGAGAGCCTATTTCTTCATTTGTAGCGGCAGTAGAGGCTACTTCTGAAGCTGGCAATGTGCTCGGGCTTTATTACAGGCTAGCTGGTGTTTTGGCATATAACCAACGCAGTGGCAATGTCCGTGGACCGGATAATTCTACAAAGGAGATGATGGGTGCAGTGACTGCAGTCTAACGAATGTTTGATGTGGATCGTTATTACTTCTGGATGTCCTGTTCTGTTTTCTGTGGGTGCAGATGATGACAGAAATGATGAAGTCTCTTTCACCTGAGACAATGGCCGCGATGAGCGAGAAGTTTGGGATGAAAATGACCCCTGAACAAGCTAGGAAGGCTCAGGAAGCTATGTCTTCCCTCAGACCGGAGGACCTCGACTCTGTGGTATGCTTTGTCGTCCACATCGCACTCTCAGTTGTCTTTTTGAAGAGTATGTGTCCGCTGCACAATACGTTTCCGTCATATGGGAACGTTCAAAGTGCTGTGATATAGTCCGGTGACTAAGTTACTATTCGTGTTTGTCTTTTTGGACTAACCATTTGGCCAGGGGCGATCTCCTCTGGTCGGGATGAGAAGGAATACAAATACTATAGATGAATCATGCAATGTACTGAATAGCTATGTTCGTAGCGCGGTGAGCGGATTGGATCTGGCTGCCAGGGTGCCCAACCGGCTGACCGGGCCCGTCCGGGCCAGGCCCTGTGCAGCTCCAGCACACCAAAACATTGAAAGGACTGCCGAACTCCCCCTGAAAAGGTAGGGATAATAAAAAAAGTTAAACAACCCTTTTGGCTATGATCAACCCTATTGATGCGCCGCCGTTGCAATGGTGACACAACCCACCCGGCATTGGTGTCAGGTCGAAGGTCCATATTAAATTCAATTATTCAAGCTAACAGTTTAGGGGAATGAACCCCAATCAGACTGCAGATTCTGGCTGCTTAGGCTGAGCACAGGACCAACCCTAAGTCAGACAGAGCACAGAACCGACCCAAAGGGCCTCGGCGAACCGCTTTCGAAACCAGAAAGTTCGTGTATGTTTCCGCAAAACATGGCAAGATGCATCTGCTACTGTTCATAGTAATGGATGCATGCATCTTGCCACTTTTTAAGGAAGATGCATTCATACTTTTTCATTTCGACAGTGGTGAGGCGAGGCCCTAAGTCTCTTTCCTCCCCACCCATTCGTTTTCTTATCCCGTGTTTGCCATGCCAGGTTTTCCTGATCGTGCAGGGGCTGCCCTGCCCAGGCATGCAGCCGTGCCGGGCACCTCGTATTGCGTAGCAGAAACGTGTGAAAACAGAGAAGAGGACAGGTAACACTGGAGGAAGTGCTTCAAACTCTTTTTAGCTTGCCTCTCCAAATCCAGGCTGTGGTCACAATGCAAAAGTGAATATTTTTCAAACTCTGTAGGCGATAAGTTTTGTCAAGCATACTCGACGAGGGCCTTCTTGGATGAATCCGGCTGTATATGCGTTCGGATTCATCAAGGAAAGGCTTGCCTTACAAGAAGTTGAACAGGATTGGATTGCCTGAAAAGAGAGAATTAAAAGAGGACTTCCATCTGAGGAAGATAGGTGGAATTCAGTGCTGGCCCGAGGGCCGGTGCGCCCCGATAATAATCATTGTGCCTGAGCTCACATCCTCGTGAACATAACAATCCTGATAACTATATACGTCAAGTCAACCTAAGAAGAACTTTCTGCTGCAAGTTAGGATGGAAATCTTTAACTTGTTGATGGCTGTGTGTGTGGGGGGGAGTAACCCTCTGGCAAAGGAAGAGGAGGACGGATGTTGTCATATAAGAAACACTGGGCAAGATTCACAGATCCGGTATGGTTGGGCCTTTTGAGGACAACAGCAGGATGACAGCGACAGAAGAGCTTCTGGCGGCAATAGGAAGTGATGTCCAAATGTATAGTCATGCCTGTGAGTGATAGTCAAAGCGGGGTAGTGGTTCTCACCGTACGGGGGGGTCATAGCCATAAGGTGAGTGATAGTCATGCCTCTTTTGGGGACAGAACAGGAGAGGTAATGCTTCTCACCATACGGGGAGTCACAACCATAAGGTCGGCGCTTCTTTTGGGGACAGAATAGGAGGCTTTCATGTTTCTCTTTTTGTGTTTTCTTTTGGGTGTAAGTCTGGGGATCAAATTGGAGTAGCTCTTGTTTGAAGGTGGTGGCTATGGGAGGAGGAGGAGGAGGAGCAGGAGCAGGAGCAGCAGCAGGAGCAGCAGCCACATGAAGAGGAAGGGGAGGAGCGACAGCAGGAGGGGAGGAGGAGCTGCAGCAGGAGATGAAACGGAGGTTTAGAGAGGAAGGAGCAGTGGGAGTGGCATCACCAGGCTGATGAGGACGACAACGATGATGATGATGATGATGATGATGATGATGATGATGATGATGACGATGATGATGATGAGGAGGAGGAAAATAACAGAAGAGGGGCTGAAATGGGGAGGGTTAAGGGGTCGCCAGCAACCGGTTTGCATTTTTAGCTACTGTTGCGTTGAAGAAAATTGTCGGGATACTGTTGCGTTGAAGAAAATTGTGACCATTTTCCTTTGGCGGGCATGTATTTGCTTTGATGGAAGTGGTCCAAAGTTGATGAACCTAATAAAGACGCCTCGGTGATCTGTCTTTGTATACAGCTACATCATACCTATGATCTTCTTCATTTCTGAAAGAGTGAAAAAACTTCAAAAAAGTGTTTTCCTGCAGGAGTTGTGCTGGACAGGGAGGTTACTGAAACCCTGGGGGGGTTATGGGTTATGGGCTTTGTGTTTTCCTTTCAGATGCGGTGGGCGGAAAGGGTGCAAAAAGCTTCTGAAGCAGCTAAGAGCACGAAGAACTGGCTTCTTGGTCGCCAAGGACTTGTGTTGGCTATAGCACTGCTTTTGGTTGCAGTGCTGGGCCATGTAATGGGTATATGGTGATCTGTGCTATTCTTCCTCTCTTCTTTGTTCTGTTGATGCCTCCTTGTGCTATCCGGGCCACCTGCCCGTTCCCCAAATTCTTTGTTTCATTCTTTACGTACTTTGCTTTTCTTGTTCTTATTCTTCCTCCCTCTGTGTTGTTATTATTTTAGAGCTCCGATCTATTGGTGGGGAGCAGCACCTGTTTAAGACCTGCTGGCCCTTCGTTTCAAGCGAATGAATGACAAGTTGACAACACAAGTTTGTGCTGGAAACCAGGTCCAGCATCCCCCTAATTTTTTACTGCTTACGTGGATGCTGAAAGGGTACTTCTCTTCCTCTTCTCCCGGCATTCTCTGTTTGCCACCCGCTTCTTCTTGTTCTCCATCCTCCTTCCTCCTCTTCTTCTGCCCCATGCATCTTCTGTCACTTGCCTCTTCCGATGCTGCGACCGGCCGCTTCCTCGTCTTTTTCTTGCTTTGTTCGCCTTTGTTCTCTATGACCTGTTTCCTTTGTTTTTCTTCGTCTCCCATTCCCATCCCATTCTCTTTCCCGTTGTGTTCCCCCTCCTCGCCCCCCTCTCCTACTATCCCTTTTCTTCTCCCTCTCTTCTTCTTTATAAGGTGGCTGCTGCTTTTCTGCCGATACTGCGACCAGCCGCTTCCTCGTCTTTTTCTTGCTTTGTTCGCCTTTGTTCTCGATGACCAGTCTCCTTTCGTTTTCTTCTTCTCCCATTCCCATCCTTTTCTCTTTCCCAATGTGTTCCCTCCCCCCCCCTCCCCCCTCCTACTCCCTCTTCTTCTTTATCTTGTGGTTGCTGCTGCTGCCGTTTTCTTTTCTTTTGCAATTGTCGTCTTCATTGTCCTTTCACGGCTGCATCTCCTTGTCTTGTCGCTTTGCTCTTCTTTCTTCTTTGTTTTTTTTTCTCTTTTCTTTCTTTTCCTGTTTTTTTTCTAACCTGTTGAAAGTTGAAACAGCTTTTCCTGCGGTGTCCCGTTTTTCATTTTTTTTCTTTTCATTGTTTTCTTGGAGGCAATTCTTTGATCAGACTGTTTTAGAGATTAGCGAGTGGGCATTTGGACACGTCGTCGTGGAAGCGAACATTTGGAAGGTAGGTCATTCTCTTTTCTCTGTTTTCATCCGGGTTCGAACTCAGGTTTGCGTTTCAACAGCTTACGGGTGTACCAAGTTACTACCAACTGATCTAAGCCCGTTGGTCTTTGGGGTGTCAATTCTGTTTTCCGTGCATAGGGCTTTCCCATCCTGTGCGTTGTGATCAGCTCGCATCTTGATTCTGTCTCTGTTGAGCTGAGACAAATTTTGTTGCAGTAGGGTAAACTATTTCTGAAAAGGAGATTTAATAAATTTAGCGGTCCTGATTTTTCCCTTCTTTACCTGGAATCTATCTCCCCCTCCCCCTCCCCCCTTACCCCCCCCAACCGGCTGTGCGTTGCTTCTTCTCGCAACCAGCAGCCACGGCTATCATAGTCAAGGAAAGAGCCATATTGTATCTGAATTATTGTGTGGACAATCCCCTGATGATTTGTAATTTTGTAGTTGATGTCATCGCTTCTCTCTCTGAACGGCATGTGGAAACCCCATCTGGGTTTTCAATTTTACACATTGTGTTCTTGTGGAACCGTGGTTTCATCAAGAACTTCGTCGTCTTCTTTTCTTTTTCTTTTTTTATTATTTTTTCTTTTTTTCTTTTTTTTTTAATGCAGCTTTGATCTATTCGTGGGGAGCAACACGTGCTGCTGGGGGCTGGGCCCGGCGTCCCATAAGAAGATTGGATCAAGCGCCCAACTTCGACGAAGGCAACATCTCGGCAAACTCTGTGTATGTGTGGGTGTCTGTGGGTGTGTGGCGTCTATGCGTGGGGAGAGAAAAGAGTCACTCCACACTGTAAGATCATGCTGTTTTTGTTTAAAAAAAAAAAAAAAAAATTTTTTTTTTTTTTTTTTTTTTTTTTTTCTTTTTTTTAAAAACATTTTGTTTTTTTTTTTTTTTTTTTTTTTTTTTTTTTTTTTTTTTTTTTTTTAATGATTTTGACGCCTATGCACTAGCGGATCAGTCGCTGGTGATGTGCAGGTCCAGGTTGTCAATTTGGTATATTCTGTTGAATAATTAGTAAAAAGCTTTTTCCATTCATCTTTTTGTCTGCTTCTTTTGAATTTCAAACTTTTATGTTCCGTCAATGGAGAATAGGGACATCAGTTTAGATTGGAACGATACAGAGAAGATTAGCATGACCCCTGCGCAAGGATTACATGCACAAGTTGAGAAACGGTCCCAAAAAAAAAAAAGAAAAAAAAGGAGAAGATTGAATTGGATTCTGGAGAAGATGAAAGTAGAGTTGCATTTTTCTGGACTCAGCCGTTTTCTTGTTTGTGTCTGCAACGACTCGTTGTCCTGCTGTCTCCTTTATCTTACGGCAACGTGTCGTTGTCCTGCTGTCTCCTTTACTCTTTCAAGGCATTGCAGTGAATGCACCCTTGCTGGTTATGCACAGTAGTCGGCTGTGAATGAAGCCTTTGATTGGAACCTGAGCTGAACGTGTGGTATTTTGTTGGTTTGTGTCTGTGCTATCTGTCATGGTGTAGCTCTCTCCAGCTGTTATGGCAGCATACTCACACTAGGAATTTTCTGACTAAGCTTAGGACATCAAGGATGGACCTTAATTACGGTCACATAGATCCAAGGGAATCCTACGATCTTCCCCTGAGCATGATGCATATGCACTCTATTGGAATTTTCGGAAAATTTGAGAATTTGACTACAACACATATGCGTTGTATTCGGAAATTCTGGCTGTTCGAATAGAACGCACATGCGTTTTTATTCAATTAGAAAGCAACCAATGCATTGTATTCGTTTACAAGGCATATGCGTTATGTTTGGGGGGAAAGACCGCAGTCTGAGTATGCACTCAGCATGGGGGATATCTAAACTGGTGACTCTGTCAATATGACCATGATGAGCATGGGTTGCTTATCCCTGCAGGTAGTTCAATAGGAACACGACGTCTCCTCGCTAGTCCCATTCAGATGAAAAGGGTGCCGTGAAACGGTGTCCAATTGAAACACTTCGGGGCAGTGAGAAAACACTGCTACGGTTTTTGAATGATGAGGTAAGATCCAAAAAGGTCTTCTGGCGGGAACTGTTCAGCTTCGGCCACCTCTGGTGGGATCTCACACATCGGCAGCTGAATCCCTGTGGGATCTTCGGAGCCTAAAGCCGACCTCTACCAAAACCTGCACATTTCAAGTAAATATGTAAACAAAAAGAAAAAAGAATCACAAGTGCGGGTCGGTTTATTTCCCATCTTCCACTAGTCACATCGCAGTCTGAAGGTCTCCTCTTTATCATCTTCACCCGAACAGAAAGGCGCAAGAACGGATACTTGAACCACCGGCACAAGGCCCAGGCGGACTTGAGAATTGATACTGGATCATTCTGAAAAGACTTGGCGGCTAGGAGCCACCCGACCAAAATGGCTGGCAGAGCCCGCCAATAAAGTGAAAGCCCCACACTGACGGTTTGGCAAAGCTTGGCGCGCAGCAGGGAGGGGGGGGGGGGGGGGGGGGGGGGGGGGGGGGGGGGGGGGGGGGGGGGGGGGGGGATCAGCCTCGCCAAAAAAGAGACTCGGAATTCTCAGATGTACTGGTGGTTTATGGCCCTTTCACTGTGTTCAGTATACGCAGCTCAGCTTGAGTGATGAGCTTATTTCAACCAATTCGTCATGTATTTAGCTGATAATGCGCCTCCTGCACCACTCTCCACATGCACACAAGACAAAAAAATGGGGGTGCATCTTTCCACGTTCTAGCAAAAGATTCATTCTCGTTTTGCACATTTGGAGAGTAGTGCAGCAAGGCCCGATGGCTGGAATATACAAGAAGAATGACCGCGACAACTTCCGAGCCTCTTTTTCCCGCGTTCCACGATTTATGGCTCCACGGCAAAATTTGCTGTCCGAAACCACCTTGGTAAGGTTGCAAAATTTGCTTCAAAATTTGCTCATGAACATATCGTTCTCCCAGCAGAGATTCAGGCTTCGGCCGGCATTTCCGGAAATCCGGTTGTGGAGAGGCCGCGCCGTCTGCCATCCACTCGTGAGTGCCGCCCTTCAGTTCCCCTACTATGGTGACTCTGTCGACCTTCTCATTGTTATCGTTATCGAGGGAGGCGGGTCCAATGATCCGCTTTGCGCTGGTGAAAAATAATCTGACTCGTGTGCGATAATGGCCTTGTGGGAAGAGAGAAATGGGCTGGGAATGGTGGTAGTGGTTTGTTTGCATTGCAGGCAGGGCTATGGGTTTGATTCAAATTGATTGCCATTGTCCGCAGTTTATTTTTTTAGTTGATGAAACGAAGTTAGCGATTAATAGGAGATGGAAAATTTTGCTGGCTGACTTCAAAAAGTCTGGAAAAATATTTGGCTGACAATCTCTTCATGTCTTTGAGTTTTTTTTGGGGGGTCGTGTCCTTAGGTAGGGCTCTGTAGGATAGTAAAGATTCTGAAAATGTGGAATAAAAATAATGGCCATGCTCGCAGTGAACATAAGTGTCTCATCGACAAAATAAAGCTGCAGCTGGATGAAATATCAATTGATTTGTTGGAGGCAGTTGGACTGAATAAAATATTGTGTATGACTGATATAACGCGTAATGAGAAAATCTGATATTGCGTGCTACACTGCTATACATGAATTTGCTTGATCAATCACAAAGACTGTTTTTTGGGTTACGGTTTTGGATTTTTGTAAATTAATACCGACTAGGAAGAGATGAGTTAGGAGTTCAAGGATTTTTTGAAAAATGCAAAAAAGAGAAAAAAAAAAAAGTGATAGAAGAACACTTTCAGGCGAACTGGCGTATGGTGTATAAGAATCTCAGGGCATATTCACACTAGCATGTTTCACTGGTTTCTGGAGGGAATTGTGGCCAGACGCATACAAGTCAGGCCGTAAATGGGGTCAGGTATATAATTTACGATAGTGGTAGTGTGAGTATGCCCTTGTTCAGAATAGTATGACAGATTTACGCGGACGAAAACCAATTATTCTTTTGAAACTGAAGTAGAACGGAAATATTCTCATATATAATATCTAAAATGTTGAGTGTGAATTTGCTATTCTTAGAGCATACTCACACTAGGCCGGAATGAACGGGCAGATCGTGATTTTGCAATTTTGAGGGCCTAGTGCGAGTATGCCCTTTTAGGGCATAAGAGGGCCTTTTCTGCAAAGCTTTGGACGTGATTGCGGTCAGATTCATCCTGGTATGCTGTAATTGCAATCAGATGTATTCTGGAAAGTGCAAGTGTGGCTGTACCCGTATTATCTGGGCTACCAGCCGTGCCGCCCAGGTGCCCAAACCCGGCATGGGACCTGCTCTGGATGACCAGCCAGGCAACTGGGGCAGGCAGGGTTCAGGCCCATGTCCCACCCCCTCAAAAAGAAAGAAGTTCAAAAATTTAGGAAAAACGGTGACTTGGCTGGAAGATGGCTTCTGGTCCATACCACGATTCCCCCGTACTGACCAGAACCTCGTGCCGAGGCGCGGCCCATTGCGACCATGCCATGGACGATTTCTGGATCCGCTGCTTGAGAGCTTGGCGCCAGCTCCCGCTACCAGACAAACCCTGGCCAACCAGTTGGGAGGTAGCTAGACAACCCCTGTTTGGGAACTGCAATATCACGGATCGGAAATGAAGGATATTTACTGCAGCGCGGACTCCCCCTGGGGCAGCTGGGTCAAGAAAGGTAAGTACATCTGGGATGAGCCCAAGTTACAGCAGCTCCAGATGAAAGTAGAATAAGAGTATTTAGAAAGGGGATTCCCCAAGGATCTAACACATCAATACCTTTTGGAGGCCAAATAGCTCCAATTTCTACGGTAGGCGCCAGACTTGAATGAAAGAAAGTCCAAAAAAAAGCTACAAAAAACAGTACTTCTGACCACAGATGAGGACAGTACTGAAACACTGTCACTGCATAGAAAGAAATCTGGAACAGCTGATCTTTGCCATCCAACTCGATTGCGCATTTTGCTCAAGGGACCGAGCCTAATGGAAGGGGATTGGGTTGCCTCTCCGGGAGCCCCGGAGAGCATAGGGACCGTCGTAGAGGTACGCGTGGATGAAGTGCTGGTTAATCTCTTTTATAAAGGAACAGGCAATGTGTTAACCAGATACAACCCGGACGAAATGAGATGGTGGCGGAACAATGGATAGCATCTCATTACGGATCCTGCACAGGATCCGGGTGTTACAAAGTAAGGAAGAATGGATAGCATACCGGCCGGAGACCTGTCTTGCAGACCTCCCCTTTGACCCTGAGGAGTGGCAGTGGTCCCCTGCACGAAGAACCCGGGT